AATCTATGTGTCTCGCTAGCGTCACTTAATCTCACTCGGCTTGGCGTTCTAGAATCTTGGGTTTGCAAAACGATTGTCAAATATACATTTATATCCAGCCATTAGTAGTCAAGTGCCGGGGAGTTCCGAGATTATCACAGTTGTTTTTCTCGGGGTATTAATTCAATTAGGTAATTCGATCCGCGGTTCTGGCTGTTTCTCTTTGAAGGGCATAGAACTATGAGCTTAAAAAGGTCCTATGCACGATATATAATTTATATGACCGAATAATGACATAAACCACATATAGTTGAGTTTGAGAAAGATATATACGTCTAGATACATGTAGTACAGTATTATAGAAGTGTAGTGGTAATGAACACGGAGATGATGAGCCAGATTAGGTGATAATGACGTGAGGTTCAAATTACGGATCGAATGTGACGGAATTGAATTTTGTTTTTCTATCATGTCCAACAAGAATTGAAAGCTGACTCGGTATCCGAGCTGAGCGGATTACACTATAAAAGCACCCCTAACCCGCCCAACTGCTCGACCTTTTTTTCCACTCTTCCAGGGGTGAGGGGACGTTTATACAACTTGTGATGGCTATTAATTATGGCTATTACTTGTGACTGCGAGTTATATACCCATGATTTACGATTTTGATACCCACGATTTACGGTCTTTAATACCTACGATCTTTAATGCCTTAATCTCTGATGGCTTAATATAATGCTTAATATCCGACTCACGTCGATGATGGTCACGTTTTGCATATACATATGCATGGTTCGTACATTCCTTCTTAATATTACCCTTTCTTACTTACTATATATCTCGATTACTGATTCTTTCTCTCCCAGTAGTATTCGCGACCATATATATGTTTACCTTGAACGGCAAAACTTCTCCTAAATCCTGGGTCCAGTGCGGGTGCTGGGCTGTCTTAGGATCCCCTCCGGCATGATATCTCAATGCCAATGTGGGTCGAGGTTTCCTTTTCGTCAGGGTATTTGGTGTGGGGATGTTTAGCGTTTGACTTGAGTGTTTAATCGGTATTTGAGCTTGGTTATCCGAATGCTTGGGTGAGCAAGTCTTTGGATATTTGAGCCGTTGCTGAGTATTTAAGCGTTTGAGTATTTGGGCATTTTTGTTGGACGTTTTAGTTGGATGTTATGGTATTCAAGGGTTTTGGTATAGAGGGTTGGGCATTTTAGCGTTAACGTGTTTGTTTGATTTGAAGGTACTTTGGCTTCGATCAATTGAATTTGGGTATTTGAGTGCTTGGGTGAGCAGGTGTTTTGGGTATCTGGGTGGTTGATCACTTTGGTGTTTTGAAATTTAGCGATTTGGTATAGAGGTCTGGCCATGGGTATAGAGGTCTGGGTATAGAGGTCTGGGTATAGAGGTCTGGGTCTAGAGGTTTGGGTATAGAGGTCTGGGTATAGAGGCTTGGGTATAGAGATTTGGGTATAGAGGCTTGGGTTAGAGGTTGGGGTATATGTATAGAGGCGTTGGAGCATTTGTCTTTTTCCTAGGCCTGGCAGGCCTTGGTATGAGATGAGTACATGTATTATGATAATGATATTTAATGAAATATAACGATTAATGATAAATACAGCGAAAGCTTGCTATAATGGTACGCTCGGGACCGGAATTTGGTACCGTTATAGAGAGATTACCCTTGTATAGGAGGTGCTGGTGCTGAAAGCCAGGCAAAAAGGACCGAGAAGTGCTACCGTTATATAGAGATTACCCTTATAGAAAGTACCGTTATAGCAAGCTTTCGCTGTATAACGTTCAGATATACATGTAGTAATCTCATAATTTTGATATTTAACGAGTGTTGATAGAAATATCGTAATGATGTTGATATGTAAATGTTGCATTTGATAATGAAGTCGTGCTATTTCGATGACATTTGACTCCTACAAGTAAATCCTGCGCTACTTTTTGTGCAGATATTTTATTACCTCATCTGATCCTAGACCCCGACTAATCATGGCAACGTTTAGTACTACATACATCTCTCGTACGCCTGCTAACATACGACACACATACGTTCGACACCTTGTTCGGCGTCAACTCACGATCTCAATCAAAACTAATTAAAGTATATTTATAAGACTGCGTGTAGAAAACAGTTTTCAATGTTCAACAGTTTGTATTGTAAGCTTCGAGACCTAAAATAACGGAAACTCCATCATTGTATATCACTCGAATACATGAATTACCACATTCCTACATGTATCCACATGTAAATACATACACATGGATAGACTGTTTACTGAGCTCGGAAGACTATCCCTTAAACCGTCAGGCCAAATTGAAACGAGTTACTCAAACTCTTTATGGTAATCGTGATATAAATATCGCTATGCTGTACTTGCAACCTGTTACGACTGATCTCAAGTCTCTAGGCGTTGATCTTATCACGATTACCATAAAGGGTTTGAGTAACTCGTTTCAAATTGGCCTGACGGTTTAAGGGATAGGATTCTCAGTTTCTATTCCATAAGCCATATGAGGAGAAAATATTATTTTTGGTCTGCTTGCGTAGTCTCAATGATTGATGTTGCAATTGAAGCTCGAGCCTCATGGAAGAGAAATCATCTCAGATATCCCAACCTTCGTCCTTGTAGCCTAAACAATAACGTTTCAAATGTCCATGCTAAGAGGAAGAGGAAAAGTCAAATCTGTGTGTTTTGTCAATCTTTTATTGTGGCCAGAATATGGAAATGATAAGTTAATAAAACTGAAGAATGCACATACATCTCTCTCCTTGTGATAATTTCGTTGATCTAGGATACCCACCACCCTAAGATAACTTATGATATCGCATCGACCCTCTAAACCGAGTGATGTGCTCACAAGAAGGGGGCTGTTTCGGAGGCAGGCGCTATAGCCTAGATACAGGGCAGTCTTTAGAAGAGTGTGGTTAGTAGTTGAAGCTCGAGGCAGGGCCCCCCAAAGGGGGGAGGGTAATTAGAAATCTTATTGGGACGTTGCTCTCCTCCCTATGAGTACCCACAAATGAGGGTGCGTGCATTCATATCAGAACCCTCTCTCCCCGCTTCCTCCTATCTTCCTCTCCCTCCCTAGCCTTCATCTTTCCTGGACATTCACATTTATCCTTCATCTTTATCGTCAGGCCTTTCCAACCACTTCTTTCTTAGATTTCTCTTCGTCAGCGTCTTTCTCGATCTCGTACACCTCTATGGAAGCCCTCCCCCACAGAGGTGCGCGAGGAGCAAATAATTGAGCATAGCCAACCCAGACACCGATTATAATATCTTTTCGGTCCCATGGATGCTCTTATCGAAGACGATGGGGTTTTCTCCGTCAACCCCTTATAAAGTCTTTGTAACAGGAAAGACACGGTTGGTATGTCTCCGCAAATAAATTCTTGTCTCCCTTATTGATAACTACAATGCTGCTTGAACCCTCCGGTGTTTTTCAAAATTAACGCTAAATCCCCCCCCCCCAGAGGAGTTTACTGGTCAACTTGAGTGAATCTCGAATACTCTCATAGCCATCGATGATTCCCTTTTGTGGGCAAGTCATAGGGTGGCTACATCGGGGTTATTGATACTGATGGCAAGAAATCCTTAGAGTATGGTTCACCGGGATTTTCGCTAACTCGTTTCTCAGGCCAGATACCCTGCCGGATCATATTCAGCAATGAGATACCAATACATGTTTGGTACTCATACCGTCTATCGATGGCATGCCATATCTGGCGGGAACCAGCCCCACCATGGTGTGGCTGTAAGTCCCTCTCTTTTCACTTTGTTGATCTGTAGCTATACACTACCGGGTATGTTACAGTAGGGTCTTCAAACCTTTGGTTTTTAACGGTAAGTATATATCGCGCGCAATCTTTTCGCTCATTGATTCTGAATATCGGATGAACTTACTTGGGGCATGTTTAGAAACATTTTACCAGAATTGGCTTTTTCATAGGTCCTGAGGTCCAGTACACAGCCCTCTTTCGGTTGTTGCTGCTGGGGGTGTCTTTACCGGCGGTGCTATAAATCTGTCTAAATGACATAGATCGCCCAGGTACGGCAAAACAAAGAATCCCAACGCTTGGATATAAGCATGGATAGTCGTGGCAGCATTAAGTTAAGAAGTAATATTAATTCTCCCGACAGCATCAGATAGCTCTCCATAGTGGGTGATCTTGCCCTGTTGGCGGGAACTAGACCCGCCATATACAGGTATGCACCTCTGTGGGATTCGTGGAGTTACATAGCTCTGATATGGCTCGTAGGGCATTGGTGGGGGCGGCTCTACTCCAGAACCTTCCCTGGGTTGTAGGCTTGATCTCTGGGAGATAGATGATTCGCTCTTTTACTGGTCAGTTGACGTCGACGTTGAAGGGGTAAGGCGGAGGAGGGCCAGCTTAGGTCGCGTCGGTTTGTGCACTATTTTTGTTTACGAGGGAGGCCAACTTGATCTCTTGACCAGAGAAGCAGCTAAAGCCAAGCAGCTCGAGCTGGCTCAGGCTATCGTCCCAAACATTAACGTTGCCTAAGCTAAAGATAAGGGCCATAGTAAAAGAAACAACCAAGGCTCTTAAAACCTTCTGCATATCGTGCAGGTAGATCAGAATGGATATCAGCGTCGTAGGGTCGGGTCAACGGCAACTCACGGACAACTGTACTATCAACCCTCTAAACTGTGCATGAGAAATGAGATCTTTGAAACGCGAAATTTGAATAATTGAGTTTCGTGGATAGACCTTTTTTTTTTTTTTTACAAGACCTTAAGTAAGAGAGTGATTTTTCATGACGAGGGTGATTACTTTTTAGAAATCAAAGAATTAGCTTGGTTTGAATAGGTACGAGTAGTTAAGTAGTAACCTCTGATTTTCGATTTTCATGGTCAACGATAGGAGGAACAAAGTCATATAGTTAAATAGATATGCGCCAGTACTACCCTAAAGAAAAGCTGCCCCAATTACATCCTAAGCGCCAAATAAAAATAAAACTGCGAAATTTGCTATCATTCCACTACTACTGCGGCTTCTTGCTCTTTGGAATATAGTCTTCTGGGCCCTTTCTCGGCTTGTACCCTTCGATTGCCAGCGCCGACATCCCAGCAGCCAGACCGTCCGCGGACGGCGCCACCGCACTTCCCAATACCTCTTTCTCCTCGATAGTAAAGGTTAATGGTTCCTGCTTTGTGGGGACCTCTTTACCATCCACTACGAAGCCCACACCGTTCCGCGCTACCTCAGGCTTCTTATTCCCGTCAAGAATGCCCTTACTTTCAATTCCGAGACCCTCAAGCTCTTGTACCAACTTCTTTAGGTCTCCTTCCTTCACAGCACTTCTGATACCCATCTCCTTTCTCCTTTCTACCTCCTCTAGTAGTACCATTGTCTCTTCACCACCGTTGGCCTTCCACTTTACACCCTCTAGGTCCAGGCCTATAACCTCGCCCTTTTCGCCAACCTCGACGCCCTCTAGTACGTCACCACGTAGCCAAGAAGGCTCATCGTTCAGCTGCACCCGTAACCACAGGCCACGGCGCGCACACAGGTCGGAGCAGAAGCGCTCCAACTTAGCTCGTGGGACGAAGCGCATAGTTGAAAGACCCTTGTCGATAAGGACATGGTTAGAGGTCGCTTTTGATTTCTTTGGCTCAGAGCAGAGCGGGTAACCACAGAGCTTCAAGATGTTGCGTTCGTGAATCAGAGAGTCGTAATCGGAGGGCTGGAAGTAGCGAAGATGGAGCTTGAGCGCTGGAGTGTCGTGGTGAGTCATGCTTGTTTCTGAGGATGCAGGCGCAGGTGTAGGGAAGTCGACGAGCTCCTCGAGAGACATGAGGATTGATAGTTCGAGGGCTTTGCGAATTTGTAAGGCGTGTGCATGGGAGAGGGCTATTGCACGTGCTTCGGAGGGAGTGGGTTTGGTGCCGGTCGTGGCTCTGGGGCCCGGATTTATGGCTACTACATCTGATCGAATAGTAGAAGGCACGGGAGTCTTCTTTAAGATTGATTTGGGCGTTGGGGTGGCCATATTGAAGGTTCTGAGAGTTGAGGCTGTTCAGTGTTCGATATTCGCAGAAGCTATGGCTTTGTAAGTGAGGATGTTCAACTGTGGCTAAACTGCATATCACCAGCCACTCGAAGCTCCTCACGCCACTGTTTCTGTCTTTGTAAGCAATCGATAGCTAGATGTGGCTGTACTACGTCATCAGCCACTGACACAGACTCCCACCAGCCACCACCATCCACCCCGCCACGCACCCTCCGCTTTTGGTGATTCCATTTCCCCCCCTCCGTGCTTTGCCCTGCTTCATTACTCAGGGAGCTGGCCAAGAGAATTGTAAAAACTCCCCACTCGGAACAATGTAAATCTATCCAATCTGTGACTTTGACTTCTGGCTCTGCATCCGGTGTGTCTGTAGATGTGCCCTGCATTGGCATTGTGAGTTCCGGACAGCTTCTAGAGGTTCCTGAGTGCGGGGCGAGATCTGATCCATGCCCTGGTTTGCTTGCTTGTGGTGCTGTGCTTGCTCTATCCGCCTGTAACTCAACTCTCAACCACCCTACCTGTGCCCTCGCTGACGTACACCTCTGGGAACAGCCACCATCCATCCCACTACCAACCGACTCTCGAGCGTGAACGAGGGGATCACGTATGAAAAATAGACAGAGACAGACAGAAAGACAGATAGAATACCTTGAGAGAGAGAGAGAGAGAGAGAGAGAGATACCGAGGAACCAAGAGACACGGAAGACCAGGAGTTCGAAATACTGCGGTACTCCCTGGACGTGCTATTGACCTAACTGTCTGACTGAGTTCACGTCTTCTTCCCTACAACTACCAACAAAATACCTCAAACCTTGCCCTCTCGGAATAATAACTACAACATAGCATCTGTTACATCTTCATAATCATCCCTTTCAAACTCTTAATCACTAACACCCCCTACTCATCCCCGGCCTGGAGTGTGTATGATCACAGTTCCATCATCATCATGGCCAACACTTCTCCTGCCCCGCCTTTCAAAGTCAAGGCACTCTTCGACTACTCCTCGCCACACGACGACGACCTTAATTTTCCCGCCGACGAAGTCATCACCGTGACTGAGGAAGAGGATGACGACTGGTACTATGGCGAATACACCGACAAGGCTACCGGCGCTCTCAAGCAGGGCATCTTCCCCAAGAACTTCGTCGAACGGATCGTGGTCGAGCTACCCCCGAGACCAACGAGGCCCGGCGGTGGTGCAAGAGGTCCAAAGAAACCTGCGGATGAAAATACCCAGCAACAGCAGGAGGAGTATGGGGGCAAGTCCCCCCCGTACCAAGCACCGCCCCCTCAGGACTCGTCCCCGCCCGCCCCTACGGTTAATACGGCTGCGGCGGGGAGTAGGCCGAGTACTAGCTCAACGATAGCTTCCCCGGTTGCAAGAGAGGCGCCGAAGCAGATGGAGGTTAGGTCGCCGCCGCGTGTTGTAGAGGAGCCAAGACCTGTACAAGTGCAGCAACAAGAACACTCTACGCCGGCCTCCCCGCCGTCAGCTCCAAGGCAGACATTCAACCCCAGGCCGCAGGTACCAACGAGCACCGAGGAGAAGAAAACTGGTGGGAACAAACCGCCGCCGCCAGAGAAGCCGAGCTCGTTTAAAGATCGGTTGGCGCTGTTCAATAAGGTTTCGACGACCCCGATTACTCCATACAATCCGCATAGGCCCCCAGTCAATTTTATCAAAAAGCCGTTTGTGGCTCCCCCACCGAGCAAAAATTCCTATGTGCCACCACCAACACAGCATACCCAGAGGCCAAAGCGTGATGAGGATTCGAACTACATTCGTGCTGAAGCAACAGAGGATACATCTAGGATGTCCCTAGATCAGGAAAGAGATAAAGAGGAGGAGAGGCCAAAATTGGCGCTCAAAGACAGGATTGCATTGCTTCAGACTCAGCAGTTGGATCCATCCGGTATTCCTGGTGGGAAGCCGAAACGACCCCCAAAGCCAAAAAGAACGGAGAGCGATCAGACTGCTGGAGAGGGAAATACTGAAGAGACTGGTCACAGTTTGGCGGTCCAGGAGGAATCTGTTCAAGAAAGAAGGTCTTTCGATTCTGGCCGGGATCATGACATGGAGGAACATGAACCGGCTCAAAGACAAAAGAAGAGTCTGGATATCGGGCATGATGACAATACCAGAGCAGAGTCCAGCGCAGGTGATGCAGATGCATCATCCATTGCCGAGGATCAGCCTCCTGCTGTCCACAGGCCCCGACCCAATGTACCTACTAGAGAAGATAAGTCTGATGACGGAGATGATGAGGGTGCCAATGATGATACTCCAGACGTTGCCTCTGACGATGAAGAGGAAGAGGTGGATCCAGAGGTTGCGAGGAAGCTTGCAATTAGAGAGAGGATAGCTAAAATGAGTGGTGGTATGGGTATGCATGGCATGTTTGGACCTCCAATGGGCATTCCAATGGGCGGCCCCCCCCCAGCGCCACCGAAGAAGAAGAAGACCCCTCCTAAGCCATCCAGAGAGGAAGAGGATTCTAGAGAAACACACGAGGCCGCGGAGCCAACAGAGGACAGACCAATGAGCAGCACTTCCCAATCTCACCAGCAGCAGCCAGTAGCACTTCCTTTCGCCATGCCGAGAGTTCAATCCCCACCGGCTGTCGAAATGCAACAGTATGATAGTGAAGATGAAGAGCCTGCGAAGGATACCGTTGGAACTGGAAAGAAAATATCTGAAGAGAGAGCTAGTGATGAAGAGGCTGATATTGAAGATTTGAAACCCCAACCACCACAGTCTCCACCGCATCATCCGCTGGGACCAAGGCCAATGCCAGCGTCACCAAAGGCCGAAAGGACTTTACCAGAAAGAGTTGTACCAATGTCTCCGCCCATGTTACCACAAGGTATAACTCCTAAGCGCATTTATCAGGCTAGGTGCTAATGAAACCTGATAGAACGGCCGGTTCCCCCTCCCCCTCCACCAATTCCAAGCGAGAGGCCTGCCCCGCCATTGCCTCCAACAGGACGTATGTAACATTTTGACCCGACTGTTTTTCAAACCTCACTCATACTTTAAATACAGAGTTGCTTCCCCCAGCCGCTATTGATGAATCGCCGACGGAAGGGTCTGAGTCTGATGATGAGTTGTCTGCTCCTCCAAGTAAACTATCATTGGCAACTTCAGACGTAGAAGTTCAGCCACGTGGGGCACCGCCACCACCTCCTCCGGGCCCTCCTTCCGTCCCATCTGGTCGTCCTCAGTCAGGTTATGGAGATGCCAAGTCCCCAACTTCCCCTGCTTCTAAACGTGCTTCCCAGGGATACTTTTCTCCTATCCAGACTGCTTCGCCGACTCTTGCCCCTGGAAGTCCTCCTTCAGCATTTAATAAGAGAGCTAGTTATCAGAGGGGCGCAGGTGGAATGCCACCAGTTCCTGGCGGTTTCCCTGTAACTCCTGGTTCTGGCACTCCTCACCAATCTCCTCAAGGTGTTTCTAGGGCCCCACCACCACCACCACCGCCGAGTGGTCCCCCACCAAGACAAAGCATTGATGATACTCGTCCTGGAATGAGTGAAACTAGCGGTAGTAATAGGCCATCTGATACAGAAGAGGAGGTCACTGAGTATGAAGCAGACTACGATACGGACATCGGAAACAAAGTGGCCCACCGGGATGCACTTAAAAAGGATCACGTCAAAGAGGAAGATGAAGAAACGCCACTACCATCACCAGTAATCTCTCCTCAGGCACCACCTAGAAGCGTTCCCCCGCCTCCCCCACCTGCAAATCCCCCGCCGTCAAGAAAGGGAAGGGCATCAGTGGACATGCCCCGTGGCGCGCCGCCCCCACCGCCACCGGCGCAGACACAGGAGCAGGAACAGTATGAGGATGATGAGTATGATCCATATAAATACGAATCCTCACGCTACGAGTCGCCACCACCAGCACCCCCAATTGCGCAGCCCTCAATGCCCCCCCCACCCCCCCACCAAGCGCCGCCTCCGCAGGAACGTTTGCCATCTCGTGGGGGCACCGGCCGTCAATCAATGGATCAGTCGCGCCCCCCCAAGGAAGCGGTAGGCGCTCAATGGATCAATCGCGTCCTTCAGCTGAATACGTAGCCCGAGACATTGAGCTAGGTGAATCAACCAAATGGTGGACTTCCCCCAACACCCCTCCACCAATCTTCCAAAACCGCCCTCGTGAGCTTTACTTTGAAGTTGAGGAGGTGCCAACTACCCGTCGTGGCGGCCGTACAACAATAACCAAAGATGTGTATGTCCTCTTTCATGACTATTCTCAAACTGTCGTCACTGCCCGCTACGACCGCGATGAACCACAAACTGCAAGTCTTGAGCAACGTCATGAAGCACCTCCCCCTCAGCCACGCCAGGACCAGCTCGAAGATTTTCAGGCCAAGTTCGGAGCCAAGATCGCTGCTGGTGCAAAGGCCCGCGAGAATACGGTTGTTGCCGGTGGCGACCCAGAGGCACTTATCCGAGAGCTTCTTGAGCTTGCACCGGGCTATCTCCCACCTGCTGGGGCAAGATCATATGGAGCATTGGTGTACGCTAATCTTGCCAACGCCTCCGTACAGCAATTTGATGAGATTAGAGCTGGTGATATTGTGACATTCAGGAATGCGAAGTTCCAGGGACACAAGGGTGGCTTACATCAGAAGTATAGCATGGAGGCTGGGAAACCGGATCATGTTGCGGTCGTAGTGGACTGGGATGGCACGAAGAAGAAACTACGTGCATGGGAGCAGGGCAGAGAGAGTAGGAAAGTTAAGATGGAGAGTTTCAAGGTCTCCGATCTCAGAAGTGGTGAGGTCAAGGTGTGGAGAGTTGTGGGTAGAGAATGGGTCGGATGGGGTGCACAGCAGTAGTCTTTGTGTATGGAAGGACTGGGTAATGAAAGTGATACGGCGCGGTAGGTAGACGTGCATGTGCGTAGTAGGGATGCAGGATCGGCAAAGCAGGATTAGGATTGTAGTGTAGCGTAGTAGTTTTAGCTGTTATTCATGTTTTTGCCTTTTTTATATTTTCCTGCTTTTTGTCTTCCTGCTATCTTTCTTTCCTCTTGTGGCTTTTTACCTGCCTGATTTAGTGGAAGTGTCCTCTTCTTGTTTGTTGTGGTTTTTTTTTATTACTATCTTTATCTTGCGTTTATACTCTACACTCGTTTGTTTTTCATATATCCCCACAAGCCTAGAAACTGAAAATTAGCCAAAGTCTTAAGAAGTATCAGTACAGTTAGCATTAATGGGGTTAGATGGCCCAGCGGTTCACCCGGGCTGGTGCTCAGCCTGTACTGACATATGTACATGAATCTAAGGAGACGAAAGATCTATTCTACCAACCCGGACGTGATTCAAGTAGACTTCTTTTCGATATTACCGAAGGAAATAATGAAGCTATCTGCCCAGAATACGAGTACACTACCTGAGATTCTGTGATTAAGCATAAGCTTAGAACAGTGAAGGATTCAGTTTCATAGTTTACGGAAGGAACAGTTTCCCATATACTAAAGTCCTTATATTGAGAAAGGAGGTATCTGCAAAAGAGGATGTCTGGTGTGTAGTGTCTGCGGCCATGTGGGTTGTGGGACGCGTGCATCACGGAATATCACTCGCATTCAGAAAACTACGCGGATGTAATTTACGGAAAACGATGCATGGTGGGTAACGAAATTGACTGTACAGTCCAGGTCATTTATTTGAGTTGTCTAATCAAGCCAGATAGAAGTTAAGTGGGCGCTCTTATCATGAAAAAGTAGTATATTGATTATATCTTGGCACGCGATAGACGAGAGACCATTCAAGAAGATAAAACATTCTTCGACAGTGCATTACGAACACGGAAATTTATATACATAGACATATATATCTCCAAGTATAAAGGAAAGAAAAAGATAAAATCAACCAGAGGTCAATTTTATAACAATACATAATCAAAGTAATTCAAAATTACCACTGCCAGATACATATATTGTCCGTTTTGGAGCCAGGCCCTACAGATAAGACCTACGAAACAGCACTCCCAGTTTCGACAAATTTTCTGCAACGCGTTAAATGTGATATCTGCGTTGTAATAAGCTTGTTTGGAGTCACGCCGTCCCATTTGATCAGTACGATTTGATGGTCAAGCCAGACAGAAAGCACACCGATGGTCCTAGACTGAAAGAACGAGCCTCCAGTTTGCCGTGCGCGAGGGAACAACGGCCTAAGGCGGTCACCAAGAGACATGATACGGTCCGCCATAGTAAGCTGGTCGGGGAACGCTGTAAGGTTAGTGGCGTACTGATTAAGTTCCATCAGTCGGGCTACCAATTCCGGGACGCGCTCCCTGCATTCGAGGATGGACTTGTTGAGCTCTTCCTGGGTTGTCGCTGACCCCATTGGCACTTCGGGGAACGTTATGTCTCTCTCGGCTTCAACTTCTAGTTGTTCGTTCTGGAGTTGGAGTAGGAGCTCGCTCAGGAGGAATCGGTACTCGTCAATGGAGAAGGGCTGGCCTTCGTTTTGGAAGAAGTTGATAACCATCTGCACGAATTCTTCTTTGGCATTGATGTAGCAGTGGTTTGTAGTGAGATGAGGGGCGATGTTGCAGATCAGGGACTTGGCGCAATCTAGTTCTGCCATTTTGAGCTCTTGTGGAAAGGAGTTGTGGTTTGGAGGTGAAATGGTGATGGGTATCAAGGGTGGATCAGGTTGACTTTGTCTCCTGTGGCTGGGGTCTTACTGTTCTTATAACCTGGGAGTCATGTCGATTTGATAGAATTCAGTAATCAAGGCTATTGAATAGTCTCGAACTTAGTTCCAGGGATGATGGGTCGTATCAAGCACTAATTATATTGGTGGATATTTGGCTTATACTTACTTACGTATACTATACTAATATACCATTACTTCTTATAACATATTAGCACTTGTTTATTGTACTAATCATTGATGGAAAGGTTGGGATATACAATCGCCCGCAAAAGCCTGATTGTATTTCAGATTTCCTTGCATAAATAGCCCAATGTGGTGGAAATACTACGAACGCGCATCAATGTACTCTCCCTGCTATAATATTGGCGCTTTCAGTATAGACTATATGTCCTTATATACATCTACCCTCTAGATCTATAGATTTATAATTAATTACATCCCCGCTAGGCTGGGAGTCTTAGGTGATACTTCCGAGTGATAACGGATGATGCCCACCATTTCCCAGATCGTTTGGCAACAGCATTTCAACTCTCTTGAGTTCCTCTTTCTCTGTGAAATTATCATCATCAAGCCGTAAAGTGCTTAGGCTTTAATATTCAAGATATCTCTACCTATCGAGCGGGAGCTACGTACTCAAATACATGAGACAAACTACAAGATCCCCCACGAGATTCAAGATCGAGTGATTGCTAATGATTCACCCGTGCGAAGTAATCTGGCTATACTCGGCATAGAGAGCTGTCTCGTATTCTATATGGGCTAAGCGTAAATTTCCAAATCCTTTATGCTTTTCAATAGTATGCTGTAGGAATAGAGTAGCAAGATATGGGGAGAAATGCAAGGTGAGATTTAATGTATCTTTTTTTATCATTTTGGTATAGTACGTAATACTTTAGATTTCTTTTTTTTTCTTTTCTTTGGGCACAAGCACCCGGCTGAAGAGGATATTGGTACAAAAGTATAGAGATATATCGTTGCCCGGACCAATGGGGTGTCATTGGCCCTTTTCGAATAGAACAGTAACTTGAAAGCACCGCCGGAAAAAGACAAATCCCTAAGGCACAGTACAAAGGCCCACGGGAAATCTGCTCTTACGTGAGTATACACCCGCCAAACCGTAGACATCCTTCCCATCCCACACTATATTCATTAAGCTCCATTACACCACTATATCCCCCCCCAGCACATCAACCTCCTTCTCCTTCAGCTCCCTGCCCAGCTCCTCCGTCGGCAGCACCGCCCCCGGCAAAATATAAAGATACCTCTTTCTCTTCCGGTCGCTGCGCTTCTTCTCCTTCTCATCCATAGTCTCGCTCGCGCCCGTCGGCCCCGGCGGGTCGAAATGCGCATCGTCGAGCTGGTAGCCGCTGATGATGCGGCACCGGCCGCAGCGCCAGATCCACCGCTTCTCGAACCCGTCTTCGCGCGTGATGATCTGCGCGGTGCGGTCTTTGGTGAGTGAGAGGATGAGGGTGTAGTCGTCTTTTTCCCGCGTTTGGAGCGTGGGGGTTGCTGCTGGGGCGCTGTCGGCGGTGAGGGTGGTGGAGGGTGCGGGGGGTGGTGCCATTGAGGTGGCCGGCGCGGGTGAGGTAGCGGCGGCGGGGGTGGTGGTTGCCGCTTCTGTGGCCTTTTCACTGGGCTGAGCAGTCGGTGCCTCCTTCATTTCAACATCTGCTTTCTCCTGCGGTATCGCGGGAGCAGCTGGCCGTGCCTCTTCTGCTACCTCCTTGCCTGCTCTCTCAGCAATTGGCGCCTCTGGTTCCTTCGTTGGCTTGGCCTCCGCTGGTTTGGCCTCAACTGGTTTGGCCTGCTCTTCGGGCTCGTCTTCCTCGTCGGAGGACGATTCCTCTGACGAAGAAGAGTCTGATTCGTCTTCCGACTTTGGTGGAGGGGGTAGTGGGACTATGATCGCATGGTCGAGGCCGGGGTCTTTCCGCTTGGGGAGGGCGGAAAAGTCGTGGGTGGATGCGAGGAAGAGGTTGGAGCAGTACGCGCAGTGGTAGGTGAACACCCTGGGATCGTGGTTAGTGGTTAGAATAATGCAATGGGGAGAGATATGTTGTGAAATACGTACCGTGGAGTTGTCATTGCGCTGCGCTGTTGAAGGGCGAATTGCTGCTGGAACAGGGAGAGCTTTTGGTGTTGTGACTTGGAGCTCTGGAGTTAGTTAGTGCTTAGGTCATAAAGTTTACTAGGACCCTGCCATGGGGTTGATGCATAGTTGATTAGTCATCGCCACTCTGCCTTATTTCACTCCCCAAACACAATCGGTTTAGTATGAATGATAATATCTTCCCAATTCAATAAACAGTCTAAACTTTGGCAGTGATTTGAAGGTTGCAATAACACTCGGCTATTTCATGAACTTGGGCATATGTAGACTTCATATCGAAACACTGATTCTCACCCTGGCCACCCGTTAAATATTCCCCACCAGGTTACAGAAAGGCCATTTTCAATCGAAACGGCGATTTAATTAGCACTAAGATCGCAGATTTTGTAGAACAATAAACTAAAAAATAGAACAATCTTCCCCAGTACTACCTACAGACACTTTGTACTCATCGATATGCCCCTCTTTTCTCAAAGATCTTGTAACCCCTTGTAACCACAGGTATACCCAGCCCCATGCATGCAATAATATTCTAGCAAGATCCCACTTACTGTATGTGTACATGTAGTTTAACCATTTCAATCGTGGAACCGAATAAATAAACTTCCGGCAGTTCTGTATTACACTGGAAGAGGCGGCAACATATGACGTTCAGTATAGAGATTCACCGAACTGTGATGCAGAGCTCATGAATCTCATATTGACTCATCACTGCGATGATACCTACATGTATCCATATATCATTGACGGGGCGTCGTGGTATTTACTGAAACTTACACCAATTGTCAAGAAGAAGATTTAACTGGGTATATTTTCCGGTGAATTCGGAACGGTAATTATAATATTTAGAGTCTGGTTCGAGATAAGTAATACCAAGGCCATGTACTTCGTTCTATAGATACTAACCCAAGTCGATGAATATAATACTCTAGTGTTTGTTTGGATACAATAGAGGTTATCTATCCAGATGTCTTCGAAATACGATGAAATCGTAGAATATAATCTAATAGTAGTACTATGGATTTATTCAAAGGGTGTAGATTAACACAGCCTGACTTAGTCTCGGTGGGCAGGCATAGTTTTGCCGGCACTGGAATACAAAGGGCCCTTTGAACGATGGTTTCTAGGAAAGAAGAGGACATTAGCATTACTAAGTAGCCAGTTGCTCAGACCATGTCATGGTATCAGCCAATCATGATTCATGCACGTGATGTGACCATTTTGGGCATAGTCTTTCGATCAGTAGCATAGATAACGGAAATGATCATCTCTCCATCCCCGTAGGTATCATGGTGTCACCTGCACACCTGAATTAAGCCTGTAAGAAAGGCTGGCGGCTGGGGTCGGCTCGCGTTGTACCTGCCTGTACGTATCTACCCTAGTTACGTGTGCACCTATTGAGATCTTACCCACTCTCCCCTTCCTCTTCTCTCTTCCCCCGTTCTTACTGCTCTGCTCTACCATATCCAACACCATCTTTGAAAAAACACCACAACAAATCCTATCGTTTACAGAAATTATGAAGTACTCTATCACCTCTACCTTCCTCGGGCTCGCGGCTGTGACTCAGCTCGCATCTGCCATCGTCCTCCCTACGCAGCAGGACCAGTTTAAGGCCCTCTCTGGTGATGCCTCAGATAGCTTCATGACACAGGATGTCGGGAGTGAAATGAGACTGGTGCAGCTTAGTCCTATGGAGATGAAGTGGATTACCGAGGACGAGAAGATGGAGCTGATCAGGGTAGGTCGTGCTCATTCTGAAGCTTATGGTGGCGACTCAGGGACTAACATGAAGCTCTCCGCGGGTGTAGAATGGTCGTAACTTCATGGATATCACCGATAACCAGGACCTTGGATACACGAACGCCTTCCAAGAGGCATCCAAGCCACGTAAGGGGAAGGTCGAGTTCCCACCGAAGCCCCAGTTCCAGGAGCTTGTTACACCGCTTCTGGGTAACTTGACCAAGAGTAACATGCAGGCGAACCTGGAGAAGTTTACCAGCTTCCACACCAGGTACTGCAAGTCGGACTACGGCAGACAGTCTTCTGAGTGGCTCCTAAACCGGATCAATGAGACCGCGGCCCACCTTCTTCCTTCGATCGAGCTGAGACCCTTCAAGCACTCGTGGCAGCAGGCGTCCATCATTGCCTCAATCCCTGGAAAGAGCAAGAAGACTGTTGTGATTGGTGCTCACCAGGATTCGATTAACCTTTACTTCCCCTCATTCCTCCGTGCCCCGGGTGCCGACGATGACGGTTCTGGAACTGTCACTATCCTAGAGGCATTCAGAGTGCTGGTTGAGTATCTTGCCGACACGGGTATCCAGCTTGAGAACACTGTTGAGTTTATGTGGTTCAGCGCTGAGGAGATTGGTCTTTTGGGAAGTCAGGCCATCTTCAGCCAGTATGAGAAGGAAGGCCGTGAGGTTGTCGCCATGTTGCAGCAGGATATGACTGGCTTTGTCCAGAAGACCCTCGATGCCGGAAAGCCCGAGAGTGTTGGTGTCATCACCGATTACGTCGATGAGGGTTTGACAGAATTCATCAAGGAGGTCATCACCGAGGTAAATAATAAACCCGTCAAAGGTATAATTTGGGGTTAGACGCTGATCGTGTGGAATGCAGTACTGTGACATCCCGTACGTCTTGACCGAATGTGGCTACGCGTGCTCTGACCACGCCAGTGCTAGCAAGGCTGGATACCCCAGTGCTTTCGTAATTGAGAGTGCCTTCTCTGGTTTGTACCCCTGAAAGTTAAATCCTGCTTCGAGTCTTCAGTGAATTAACCGGTATATCCTCAGAATCTGATGACCATATCCACACCACCGAGGACAAGATTGAGTACCTCAGCTTCGACCACATGCTCCAGCACGCCAAGTTGACTCTTGGTCTTGCTTACGAGCTCGGTAACACCGACTTTGGCGGAAAGAAGGAGCACAAGGGACACAAGGAGCACGAATTGTAAGCATTCAGGCTTCTGTGGGATAATGTTACGAATGGCATGGACGGACGGATGATGGGAAGATATTTTTGACGTATGGTTTTTTTTTTATCTAAAGCCCGCTAAATTGGGGTGTACGTTCTTGCATTGTATTAAGTACTTGATGTAGTCTTTGGTAATGAACATGGTTATTTGCATATCAGAACACATACGCTCTGTTAGTTTTATTCTCATTGAAAATGAAGTATCCAAGATTGGGTCGTAGGCAAGATGAGGGCTCCCATAGAATCCTGAGGACTCTAATCGCTATTTTGAACCAAGCGATTTTGAAACTCGATGTTTCCTTGCCTGGCTAGGTTGAAACATAGTACGAGAATCAGGATCTTGCTCCGCACGTCATAAACCTCATCCTTACTCTTCATCTGGTAGCCGTTAAATGTGCATACACCTCATTCTCATCTCGGAAAACTCAAGTACTGTCCTCAAATATTCTATTTGCTCGCATTCCTAGCTCAACGTCGCTTTTCATGGTGAAGGGAGGGCCTATCGAGTGAGAGACCATGACCCAATGTATCAGAGTCAATGAATCTGTATAAATTCCCCAAGTCTCTCCAGTCTCAATGCTCTTTTCCCCTTATGCAGCGAAATGATGCTCATATGCTCACTCCGGATGTATGTTAACGCCGCCAAGGCACCATTGCAGTATCTGAGACACTATGAGCATCAGGCACCATACGATCCATTCGGCCAGTAATGTGAGTGTTAACCAATTTCCTCCATGAAATAGAAATAGAAGAGTGGTGCCGCGGCAGAGGCAATTTCACGTTTTTTTCTCTTTGGGACAGGAACAGGTGAGAGGGAATTGGGGGAAATTATCCGTTCTATACAACATGTACTACAACGTTATTTTTTTTCTTTCTTTCCTTTCTTCAAACCCTCCTTCTATCATATAAAGAGAGAAAAAACGTCCATTTCCAGCCAGTATATAGATTTAGTGCTTCGCCTTTGATGCGGCAGCACCCTCGGCTTCTGCCTTTGCGATGAATTCCCTGCAACTCATATTAATGACTGAACTAGACTAGACAGACCTGAGGCGAAGGGTGGAGGGGGGACAGGTGGGCGTACTTGATGAACTTCTCCTCATCGCTGCTGGAGGCCTGGATGGGTGGGGTAGTCTTATCCTTCTTTCCGCCGGTCGCGAGGGCGACAATACCGATGACGGAGCCGAGGGTGGCCATGGCGAGCTACATATCGCGGGCATCGTCAGTCCACAGATTCCGCCATTCCATTCACCCATTCAAACACCGTCCGTCCATCGCAATTGACCCGCCGAGAGAGAGGGGTGGGGGGGAGAGGTGACATACGTGGTGTGATCCGACCTGCCTGCCGGCGATGGTGTACATGGCGACCATTGTGGATGATTGTTGGGGTGGGCAATTGAAGACGGGGAGGGTATCGGGGGTGGGTTGGTGATGTCGTGAATGGTGAGTGATGGGTGTGGGACGGAATCTCGGTTGATGAGACTCGAGGGCGATTTGACGGTGTGGCGGGTGAAGTGTGTGTGGCGCTTTTGGAGGGGCTAAGGGTGTGGCGCAAGCTTTCGGGTGAGCGGTGACTCAGCCGGCCGGGATCGGAGAGAGAGTTTACGTCATTCGGGAGACCTATCATGTAGCTTCTTGGGCTTGGGTTGGTCGTAGATAAATTCTAGGAAACATCGTCAACTTGGAAGTATCGACATCTTAGACAGCCTCTCCCATCGCCACCGACTACTCTATTGCATCCTTTATAGATAGATCTCTTGTTGAATCTTTAATATCAGTGGAAATAGCACATCATGTCAGCAAAGGCTCCCCCCAACCCAGACCACCCACCAAGGGCAGAGACCCTCCCCCAGAGGATCTATGAGGGCGAGTAAGTCTAGTTCATCCACTATCTCGAGCCCCTTCTCCAAATCTTCCCACAACTAAAAAGCCAATCATCCCGGAAAGAAACGAAAGAGATAACGAAAAAAAGAAGGAGAAAAAAAACTAATACAATGCCAGGGCCCCCGAAACCACCGAAACAAACCTCCGCTGGGCCGCCTACGCAAACCGCATCCGCACCATCATGAACTCTGCCCACCGCTATGTCGCCTACACCTCCGACATTGGAGAGTCCTTCCGCCCCGTTGCTCACCCAGGCCTCATCCGCACGGCCTACGGGATCTCCTGGCTCTACCTTACCGGCGACGTCCTGCACGAGGGCTACAAGGCCTACATCTCCAACCAGGCCACCCTTCGTGGGGGCCAGGTCGTCTCGCCGCTCCCTGACTGGCTCACCCCGAAGAGCTCCACCGAGAAGTCACCCTCCTCGGAGGCGACGTATAAGCCGGAGGAGGTGGCCAAGAGCGTGAAGAACCAGCTCACGACGCCAAAGCCGCCGTACGAGGTGAAGCCGAGGAAGGTGTCGTCGTTGAGCGACGCGAGGGATGATTGGGACGATGGCAGCAAGGATGCCGGGAAGAACTTGGTGAATCCGAAGGGGACGGTGCCGTTCTTGGAGGATTACAGGACTGTGATGGTGCAGAGGGCGATTTTCCAGGGGTTGGCGAGTATGGGGTTGCCGGCGTTGACGATTCACTCGGTATGCATCTCCCAATTGATTATGATTATGTAGTATTGTGACGGACGCTGATATTTCGTGGTTGTAGGTTGTGCGGTACTCTGGCAGGGCGCTGAAGAACACTAAGAACGTTATGATCAGGACTTGGGGTCCCGTCGGGCTGGGATTAGCGGTGGTGCCGGCGCTGCCTTATATTTTCGATCATCCGGTGGAGCACGCGGTCGAGTATGTGTTTGAGAAGGGGTACGAGACCATTACGGGCAAGAAGGGGGTACATGAGAAGGAGCTATAGATCTCTTTTCTTGGATGTATAGGATGCGGTTAGACGATATCATGGGTCGAGCGATTATTGTATAGTCACCTTTTTTTTCTTTTCTTTTCGATGTCTCCCCTCTTGATCATTGATCATACCATCTCCCTTCTTTGCGGCTCTTTTCTGGTTTGATGTTGTATATGCGGTTGGCTGGGTGGCTCTTTTTAGGTTTCTTGTTTGTGGTCAGCTTGGGGATTTCAGCGTGCTCTAGAGATAGAGGCGAGCATGCATGATATACAAGAATACAAACGCAGAGGTGCATTTGCACCATATATCTAGCTATACCCCATTAAAACGATAATTGCTATGCTCGAAAGGGAAGGTGGTTGGTTACAACACCTAGTTATTTGCTCCATGAGAAATCACTCGATGTACTTGGCCGTGATTACTTATTTACCTCGTGGGAATACGGGATCCGAGTCACTATATTGTGCTTTTAGCCGGATGTGGGTCTTACTACCTATCCTATTCCCTATGACAGCTGAGCACTCACCAGCCACAACGGTTACATCTCACCATACTGTTATAAGTTGCATCGAATACCCGGCGTCACCAATCGCGCGACACGCCAGCTGCTTATCAAATATATGGTAGATTATACTGGATATCTCCACTTGCAGAGTTCAAACCATCATGTTTACTGAATGTGGTTAACAGCTGCCGCTTCAATTAGGCCTGACGGTTTAAGGGATAAGGCAGTGATCATATCGTATCTAAAACACGCTACTAAAGGACTGTTATGTCAGTAGAACCTGCGTATGTACCATTGCGGTTGGTAATTGCATGTACTACCCCCGACGCTCGCCGCGCAAGAGACCAGCCGCGGGCACACGAGCAGTGATTTCCGAGTGATGGTGTATGATTTATTGATATGTTATAACTACCAGTCTATAGAAGTCGACGCCAACAAGATCGCATCTGGAGGGGAGGGAAGAGGGTAGAAGCAACGAAAAATGGCGAGAGCAGGCTACTTGCTATGTTCTGTTCTCAGGTCACGTTGCGGTGTCCTGGTGGTTGTGGGTGCTCAGTCGTGGGATTTTGGTATGGTTGGACATGCGGATAGTGGGGACGCTGTACAGCTTTAGAAAGGTAAAGAGGAATAGCAAGAATAGTGGGGCTAGAAGGCGGGGAGAAGCTGGAGGTGAGCGAGGATGTGTTGTATATGGTGGGTACTTGAAGGAGGAGGGAAAGGCGGGGTGTTAATGGTCTCAAGAACGGTGCTGGAGCTTTTTTTGTTGGTTCCATGTTATCTAGATACTGTAACTGGAGTTGTGAACTTTAGTCTTGGCGTAACTTTTATTAGCCAACATGCAAGATCAATCCATAAACCTCTGACGAGCGTCCTCATGAGCAAAGATATGCCCGATCGGTAATCAGGCGTGTAGATATATATTGCATGTGTCGAGAGGGTATAAAGCTCTAAATCCGGTAACATGGCCTATCCCACCAAACGATAGCTATAGTGAGTTTCACCGCAACCCATACGCCGGAATCCCTTCTCCACCATCCAGCGTCTGGGGAGCGTGGGCTAGTGTGGGTTTCTTTCTAGTCCTTACACTGTTACAAGCCAAAGACCGTACAGGCGGCTGATAGAACAATTCGTGATTTGGCGACACCCTAGGAGGTGGATATCTGGTCTGAGCTCGAAGCAGTTGAAAGGTAGTTCTAGACCACGGACAACTAAGTAGAATAGTGGAACGCCGGAGTTGTGGTTGTAGATGGACGGCTGTATCGTTGGTTGAACATACCCTAAGTGAATACTAGAACTTGTCTGAGCTCGGAGCAACGGAAAAACAGCTCTAGACCACGAACATGTACCTAGCATACTGGAACGCTGGTGTGTGGTTGTAGAGGGAGAGTTTTATCGAATAATTTGGTTTGTCGCTTTTGTAGAAGCACAGAAGATCGCGACAGATAATCCGGGGATACGAGCCTAGCTTTCACGAATAGGAAGAAAAGATTATGTAGATCTAGCATGATCATATTGTTCTCTACCTACTATATGTACGCTTAAGTACATGCACGGGAGTTGGCTTGGGACATGGGAAGAGTGGGACCATCTATGTAGCCGGCGATGGCCTTCCATGTACAGTTGACTTAGCGATGCATCGATGCGTAGGACGCACATATGTTTACAGGTGTTTGACCAATACGATGTGCAGGAAATGTTTGGTTTTAATCATGGTTTATCACTCGATCATGCCAAGACTCCGGAAATGAATATATCAGGACACATGTTTCATCCTTTATCATACAATGCTTACAACTGAACATCGCACACTTAGAGTGTCGAGAAACGAGCAGACACCTTGTCGCACATCAAGGAATTCAACTTACACACCATGGCTAGAGTCCAACAGATACAGACAACTTGCATATTGAAGAGGCCTAGGCCTCGAGCATAACGGATGATCAACGACGTCCCCCTCATCATTTAAGCTTGCATGCAGCAAAAGAACTCAAAAAATCTACGTATAATGTATACGCCAATGCATTGCCGATCCCATGGGCTTAAGGACATCACCGAGCTGGATTTACCCGGGTCTATATGGTCCTCTCCTGTGGAGGCCGCTAGGTTGCTTGCCTTGGAGTGTCTCTAGTCTCGAGGCCGCCTGCCCCGAAACACTTATCTATTGGGCCGATGGAATAAACTACTACTTGGGATACAGCATACTAGTCCACTGGTAACTCGATGCTCGGTTATCTATCCGGAGAACTGAAATACCACTTAGCGGCCTCGAAATAGTACCATGAAATAAACTCAGCTGATGCCCCTCGAAGATCCTTTACCTCGGTGATCACATTGCCTGAGCTACTGGATAGCCTCACAGATGTTACTGGATTATTATACTGGTTGTATCTCAAGGCCCTCAAAAACTGATGTTTCAGGGTGGTCAATAATGTCCATGATCAATGCTGGAGACACTATTCATGTATATCACGAGGTCAATGGTGGTGGTACAGATGAGAGAACGGCCTTCTCAGCTCTATGAGTCAAGGTTAGACATAGTGATAGAGGCACCTGATGATGGCGATACTATGCGGAGGTTGCAGATCCAGCATTCTATCCTCAAATCTCACCAGAGAGCGTAATGAGATTCTGTACTTAAGTACCTGTCGACATCTCTCCTCAGCAATCTCCTTCCACTCATCATCTACTCACCGCAATCACAACTCCACCAACCTCTACCTCGACCTAAGCACAACATATATAAACCCTACCTTAAATACAAACGCGAAATGGCCACCAACTCCTCCATCACCTCTCTCGCCTACCACGGCCCCACCTGCACGCACCTCGACGGAGTCTATAACACGGTCTGCCACGCCTCAACTCCGCAATCCTCCAAGCTCATCCACCTCCACACCCTCATGACCACCACCCCCTCCTGCACTCTCCACTACGACCCACTCGCCAACGACTCCGCGGACTACACTGGCTTCTGCGCCACATTCGAGACAGCCGTAGCCCGTGGCGAACATGATGTCGTAAAGTATCTTCTCAACGCAGGCGTGAACCCCGATATTTGTGCGACAGGCATGCCGCCGCTGCATCGGGCGATACGGAATCTGGATTCGAGGATGGTGGGATTGTTGGGGGAATCAGGGGCGGCACATATGAATATCAGATATGAAGGGATGACGCCGTTGAAATTGGTTGCGAGAATGAAGGCGCCGGATGAGGCGACGGAGCAGGAGAGGAAGATGTGGACGGAGAAGTTGACGGCGGTGAAGAGGTTTGTGGATTATTTTGTGGGGAGGATGTAGCTGTTGTTGTTTCGGTTTTTATCTAGGACTTGGCCTTAGTTCTCTGTACCTTCTTTGTAGTTTTTTGGCTAGGTGCTTAGGTTGAAATCGTTTTATAACTCAATGCAAACAATACTATCACACGAACGACCAATCGCGCACTCGGTTACCACGCAGACATTGAAAAATCTGTGACCTATAGAATAGATAACCCAGAACTCACCCAAACCCCTAATACCTTAGGGTCTGTACGCGGTATACGTAGGTGACCGCCCTCCTAGTAGAAACAGCTCGAAACATTAGTAGGCGCAAATCATGATCCATCACTCGTTAATAATCACAACTTCTCACTCGACGTCATTACTAGTGCCAAGACGCGCTATACAGCAAGAGGTATGATGACTGCAGAAACTAGATTTCGGGTGCCTTTGCTGGGTTGTCGGCCAGATGTAGTTCCGTTCGCAGGGAACCAGTGGATCCAAAACAGAATCAGTGGAAATCGGATGCCAAATAATTGCGTAAATAAGGATTGACTGAATTTAATTCTCTAGCTGAACATGTTCTGTTATGGCTCTAAGAATTGTCCTATAGATCTCAAAGATCTCAAACAACAAACTGTCCTTCCTTTTCACAGCTTTCTGAGCAGTTGTGAGTGCGTCGGTTCCGTGCCATTAGATTTAGTATCATGTAATAAAGTCCGGGATCGGTTAGGTACCTCGAGGGGGATTTTCATAATCTGATGAGTTCCCTGGCTTGGTAATTATCAATAGCTAGATTGAAGATCGTTTTGTATGAGTTTGGGTTCGGAAAAAACTATCACTACCCCCCAAACAAGCATCGCATTAAGTAGAACTATATGTGTCTTGGTTGTGTACGTTTTGGAATACAAATATTGATCTTTGTGCTTCAAAGCCCTGATATATATATATGAGTCCCAGATATGCTAGTTGACTTTATTTTACTCTTTCCGCCTCTTTGAATACAGCAATTAACCGTTGGCAAATTATTACCAATGAATTTGTAATCGAGGGCCCCTTTCTAATTAACATGCCAGCAGATATTTTTCATCATATTAATTCTTCCCGATTATAGATCTTACTAGTTGTTTGAGAACAAAAAACGAAAAGATATATATCGACGGTTGAGTTTGATTTCTAACCAGAGGGGGAAATAATTGTACGAAGAGGGTTCGAGTCTCAATAGCAACAAGCTAAAAAAAAAAAAAAAAAGTAAAGTTTTTATAATTTACTCCTCCAACATAATTATATGCGTAAAACGTTCGATATTATGATCAGCAACGTTTAAGCTATCCTGAAGATAATAATCGATTTTAATATTAACTAATTCCTGAGGGCACGAGGCATGACAGTATTTCAGTAGAGCTTGATTCATATAACGGTGAATATTTCCCCCGTTATAAAATCATTTCATATATATAGAGGGAATCCTCTCCGAGCATGTATATTGTATATTTTTTGGACAAGTGTAATACCAGATTATTCATGGGTTTGAAGTGGTATTATTTTCAACGGAAAAGGTCTAAAATGACACAGTTTTCGGTAGACGTGCTCTACAATAACACATGAATGCAAGATGACACAGCTGGTTGAGCAATGATAATATCGAAGGGTCAGGGTTCAAGTTCGATCTTCATCTTGGCACACTGCCAAGCTAGCTCAAGCATCACTTCAGGCACAGCATCTACTATGGGCGGGTGGTCTAGTGGATAGACTGCTCGTCAGGTGAGACACCGAGAGTACCCAGGATACAACCAATCACACATAAGATCCTGGGTTCAAACCAGGGGTGGGGGTAGCAGTCGCAAATGTCTAAATAAGTCGCTGCAGTACCTTTTGTAGTTTTATAGAACGCTTTGTTCCTTTCTTCTCTTTTTTTGCTTGTAGTGACAGCAAACTGTGTCTTTTTGCATCATGTGTTATTTCGGAGCACGTATACCGAAAACTGTGTCATTTTAGGCCTTTTCCGTATTTTCAATCATGAAGGACTGTGAAGTACAGCACCAGCAGAAAGAAAGAAACAAAAGGGTAAGAAATTTCCTTTAATTACAGGGTTTTGGTTTGCTACGTTAATGCTATTTATTCCTTATTTTGAGACATATTTGGTAGTGAATAAAGTATTTCCCAAAACTGGTTCCTTATACTTGATATTATGTATTATAGCGGGACTTCTTACAGTGAGGTACGACTGTACCTGAAATTATAGGTGTGTTGCATTAACTTAAATAATAACTACATCATCTGTAAGCTACATCAACTACTAAAACAAGATAATAAACAAAAACGACAACTACGACAACTGATTAAAAAAACCACACCAACACACCACTCTACGGCACCACCACCATCCCCGCCTCCGCAAACTCCCTCACCTCCCTCAACCGCTGCCACACCCCCGCCACCCACGCCCTATCATCCTCATCGTCCCCCTCCCCCTCACTCCCACTATCCTCCTCAAAGCTCGCAAGCAGCCACACGTCATGATGCAGCTCCACCAGCCTCGCCGGTAAAAACCTCTCCCCGCCCGTCCCCACACTCCACACCTCACTCCTTGGCAGCGCCGCCAGAGCCCGCGCCTTAAACCACACCCGCCGCTCCAGCGGCGTCATCTGGTCCTCGAAGCAGTCCAGCGTGTCGCCGTAGTCCCGCAGCACCTCGAGCCGCGAGACGAGCTCCGGTGCCTGGGCGCGGCAGTGCGTGGTACACGCTGCCAGCTGCTCCGCGGTCCGGCGGTTGGTGGGTGGGGTGGTGAGGCGTGCGGAGGCGGTGGAGAGCTCGTGGTGGAAGAGGAGCGAGTATTCGCTGCAGAGGAGGCGGGCTTCGGCGGTGGTCCAGGGGATGCGCGTGTTGGCGAGGAGCGTGAGGTAGTGGCCGACGTAGTCGTTGGTGGCGGTGATGCGGCAGTTGTTGCCGAGGAGGTAGGTGTAGATTGGTGCGAGGAGGGAGGTGGGGGCGGACATGGGTGGCTGGGTGGCTGGGGGGGGGGGTTAGTAATTTGGGGGTATATGGTTTATGTTAGCTGATAATGTATATGATTTACAGTCTTTTTGATAGTGCTATATTAACTGGCTTGATTTAGATATTTAGATTACTTAGATAGTTCCGAGTCCCGGGAAGGCCTTATATACAGTGCCCAATGAGCATCTCGATACTATCTGCCGTGGTAGGGAAATTATATTTTCAGCACTGTTTGACACCTGAATACTACGCTCGATCTATCCGTCAGTAACGACTCACAGCAGCGGCAGACACGTTTCTGGAGAATTTGCAGCCCGAAAAAAAAAACGTTAATTAGACTTCGAAAATACCCCACACTTCGGGATGAAGTTAGATGTTGGCGACGCAAATACAAAACAGGGCTTCGTATCCGCACAAAACTCAATTTTCGTAGCGTGGTGGAACCTTGCACTGGGAGGTTTAATAGAAACGTCATGAGGAACTTAGTATTCTGCAGCTTTTTGCCTGGTATGCGGTAGCTCGTGGGGGGTAGCGCTCTCTCTGCGATGTTACCTGTGGGGATTTGCTGTGGAGGAATATTGGCTTTTAGAATTGCTCGTCGGGTTCATAGTGATGGGTTCCATGGTCCCAGAGCTTACTGACCCAGTGGAGAAGTGGTGGGCCCTAAGAGTTCGAATATTACGAATATTTATGTTTAATTAGCATTTCTCGGGAACAGGATGTTGCAATTGGATGCTTCCAAGCTCCCATCACAGGTGCCAAGCCATGGAACACAAAAACACTACAAACTATCATTACCAGTCAACACCCTAATATACAAAACATTACCGAGTGGAGTCCACAACAAAAGAAAACCCCCTACACGCCTATATCCAGAAAACAGATACCCTCTACATAATCTACTTCCTCCTAACGCACAGCACCCCATGCCCAAACTCCACATCCACCACCCTCTCCCTCCACCCCTCCCCCTCCCACCCCGCCGCCTTCCTAATATCCGCAAACATATCCCCAATGACATCGCCACCCTCATTCCTCACCCCCCACTCATGCGCCGCGCTCCACGTCCTCGCATAACTCTCCACATCTCCCAGCTTCCACTTCAGACTCAACAGCGGCACCCCACGCTTCACCAGTCCCTCCGTCTCATCCACCTCATTCGCATACCCCAACTCCTTCAAATCCTCGGCGCCCCCCTCAACCTTCGGCTCATACTCCCAGCGCTCCACACCCTCCCACTCCGCGGCGGGCGGGTCCAGGAACCGCATCCGGCTCTGACACCTCGTGCGCCCCGGCTGCTGCCAGCACGGCCCCATCTTATCAACCCCATACGTGTACCGCGCAACCACCAGACTCGCCGCCGGAAACCCCGGAAACACAAAGTCCTTGTACGTCCACGCAGCCAAGGTCCCACCCGACCGCATCACCCGCGCCATCTCTGCCCAGAAGCGCGGCAGGTCGAACCAGTGCGCAGCCTGCGCGGAGACAACCATGTCGACGGATGCGTCGGGCAGGAAGGGGAGCGTCTCGGCGTCTGCGAGGTGGTACTCGATGTGTGGGTATTTGTCGGGCGGGGTGAGGGCGCGTGCGGACTCGAGCATGCCGGGGCTGGGGTCGACGCCGATGGCACGGGTAAAGTGGGCGCCGAGGGGGCGGGTGACGGTGCCGGGGCCACAGCCGAGGTCGAGGAGGGTGTTGGTGGGGCCGTGGTGGTAGGGGAGTAGGTGAGCGGTAAAGAGAGTTGTGGGATAGATGGGGCGGTGGTTGGCATAGGCTGCGTAGCCAAAGTTTTTCTTTGCGAAGGCTGCCATGGGCGGAGTGGGTGCGAGTGATGGTCTGTGACGCGGTGTGCGAGTGATAGGCGGTGAAGATGTGGTTGTGGGCCCACTTCACTTCTCGGTGCAAATGCGCCGTGTTATATACTTGGCAATTTCCTGTATGGCCGGCGGCGTGGGTGTGACTCTGGGAGGCGAATAGTCATCCACTTTGCTGCCCCGGTCCACGGGCGGGGGTCTGTCGGTTATCGGTTATTTTGCCGGGTCGTGTGCCGACAGCTGAGTGAAACCCAGAACCAGCGTTCAGCCCTCTGTAGAGTACAGAGAGTAGGGGTCCGAATTGTATCATTGCAGGTAAAGTGTAGAGACAGTACATGATATAGCCGTCTAGGCAAATGTCTAGATTAATTAGCAATTAATTGCAGTCGCTGTCAATACGAGCGTGGTTGCCGTATTCCGGGTATGGATGTAATATTCCTTGCAACTACCGTCTGTGACAACCAAACTTGGCGACTCAGACATTTCAGACAAAGTGAAGCGTATTCAGAGACAGTGAGTGACTCAACTCCAGGGCGCTGAATACTGTTCTGGGGTGTAGCTGATGCCATAATTGATCTTTTAGTAGAATTGAGATATAGATGAAGAGAGATTTTGAAAAACGACACCTTTGAGGGAATATTGAGCTTCAATGACCTCGGCCATCTAGATTTGGGTTCTAGTACGGATCCCATGTGCCCTGGATACAGCTCGTTTTATTTATTCTTCGAGAAGAAATGCAATCTCACATGATAGGAATGATGAAACTCGAGAATATTTGGTTTGATAACATGGTCGTTTCCAAAGACCTGTCACTCTGTAGCATTCCTCGACATTAGTTGTGGGATAGGTAACTCGGCATGCTGTAGAAAACCGTCTCAAAAGACACATTTGGTAGACTCCTTATGCTGAGAGATGAAATCTTGCGGTCTTTATAACGAAGACTTATCTCTGGGCCGGTAAATTGCTTTCAGGCTAGTCAGTAAGGAGCGCCGAATTCTCTTTGTGTCTGAGAACAGGTATCTTTGCAGGCTTGCTTTTGGTGCCGGTGATTCTGGCTTCCCCGCATCCAGGCAGAGACGGTATTATCTTGTAAGGTCCCTTGTAGTCGACAACGTCTTCCACTATTGATGTCTCTTGGGTGTCAATGATTGATATCGCTCCAGCAATCCGGTTCCATGAAAAATGCTAGTCCGGTTTCAGCTTTGTTTGGGGCTATTATTCCGCCAGTATGGACTGAGGTAGCCTTAAAAGAAAGAGATAGTCGGTATGATCGACCATCAGGATGAGTTATAAAGCAAAAGTGCATAGGATTACCGAGCCAAAATTGGCCTTTGTCCCATAACAACTTCTATTCCCACATTTCCCATATGGACTGTGGACACGCCGGCCGGCCTGATGGGAGGTATTCTATCTGCATATCTACTTGCAACCTCCCAGCGAAGGGTCCCTTAGCTCTTTGATAGAAACTCTATCTTCGAATTGAGAGTAGAACGTTGCGACGCGCCGAAGATGTGAGGCTGCAGCCATATTGATAGGTAATGTCATTAGAGACAAGGTCATCCGCCAAGCTAGTGCTTTTTCTTGCACTTATTGGCCTTAGCACTATAAAATCCATTCTTGGCAATCATATTCGCTCGCTGAATATTTTGGGTCATGGTCTCTCACTCGGTATTGATATTCGGCGCAGGAGGTGCTCATCAAAGCACTGCTGTACGCATCATTAGATTGGAGGGGAATTCATGATAGGGCAGACACGTACCTTTTAGAGCGGATATTTTTGCCTCATTATCTCCGCTGCCTATCTATCATGGCATATCAATCGGCTTGGTCCACTCTGCAAACGTCATCCCTGCGGTCCACTCCTCCCCGTGTAAAGAGATTTTTGGAGATTGTACACATGGCTGATGTGTCGGGTGGAGGAGGTGTGTGAAGAGTGTTTACAAGAGAGAATGAGTGATGCGGTGACGTGAGACGGAGCGCGATGAGGCCGGAGCATTTCTACTACATGTAGTACCCACCTAGCGCCTCCTGGTGAAGCCACACAGAATTCGACACCTATTAGACTGAATGCGATACATGTAGCTTAACTACATGTAATGATTTCTATCATGTCTTAGCTGATACACGCCCCGCCCACCCGTTCCTAAATACCTCGGCATGCCGGCGCGGCGCGACGGCCCTTGCATATGACATCACTGCACCTACACACAACCTCCAAAGCTCCACCTCAGAACTCCACCTAGCTCAAAGCACTTCCTCCAGCATCCACCAAACCCACCACCACCATCACCACAAAACCAAAAACACGAAATGCCGCCCACAAACGCCATCAAAACCTTCCTCTCCACCCCGCACTTCGCCGTCCTCGGCGCCGTCCCCGACCCCTCCCGCTACGGCCACAAAGGTACCCCCTCCCTCCCCCACAAAACCCACCAACAAACAAACTAACCCCCCCAGTCTTCGCCTGGTACCACGCCCACTCCCTTCCCGTCACCGGCATCCACCCGCGCACACCCACACTCACGCTCCCGCCCTCCACGACCCCCTACCCCACCCTCGCGTCGATCGCGGACCTGCCCGACCCGGCCAACACGGCGCTGTCGTTCATCACGCCACCGGCGGTGACGCTGGAGGTGCTGAAGGCCGCAAAGGGGCTGGGGGTGAGGGCGGTGTGGTTCCAGCCCGGCGCGGCGGACGTGGCATGTGTGGGCTTTGCGGAGGAGGCGGGGATGACGGTCGTGGCGGGGGGTAGGTGTGTTTTGGTGGATGGGGAGGAGGGGTTGAGGAGTGTGGGGAGGCTGTAGTATAGGGGTGCTGGGGGGTGGGTGTGGGTGTGTGGGGGGCGGTGATGTCGGGCTGGGGTTGGGTTGGGTGGAATTGGGCGTGGTAGTATATGTTCTGCGGATTCATACAACGCAGTAGTGAACTAATGATAGTATTGCAAGTAATAGTGTGGAACCAGCAGGATGTGGTGCTTCTTTCTGTGTCATTGTCTATTCCAAATAATCTTTATGAGTGATCCAAGCATTGCCTAGGACTAAAGTGTCAAATCAACACTGTGAGTCATAGGTATTAAGACCATTACAAGAGCGAGCTATATACGTGGTTGTGCCCAGTTAAGCATATATGTTAGTTTTGAGATGATATAGAGTGAGGTTGCGCCACCGACCCAATCACCATCATCATCCTCATCTCCCTGCATCCGGACGTTCAAAACAAAAGACCCTCAGACTCCAGATAGCGAGGCCTTAACTACCAACAGCCTGAAAACGCCCAAATGAATAAAATCTAATTACACCCGCTATGGTAAGCAAAACTACATAGGTTACATAAAGTAGCACCCCCTTCATCATCAATCCACCTCCTCCTCACTCTCAACCTGCACTTTCTTCACCTTCCTCCCCTTCTTCATAGGCATAGGCTTCGGCTTCGGCTCCCTCCTCGCCTCGTTCCTCCTCCCCTCCTCCCTCCTTTCCGCCTCCCTCCTCGCCTCCTCCCTCCTCCACTCCGCTTCCCTCCTCTCATCATCCAGCCTCCTCGCCTCCTCCAGCCTCCTCGCCTCCTCCGCCCTCCTCGGATCCTCCCTCCCCCCATCTCTCACAAACTCCACATCCCCCACCTCACAAAACAGCACCACCGGCTCCGCCACCCACCGCAGCGTCTCCCCACCGACCCCCAACCCCCCCTCCGACGACGGCCAGTCCTCCAACGCCATCCTCAGCGCCCCCGGCCGCACAGCCAACTCCCGAAACGAGCTCGTCATCCGCAGAAACCCCTGCCGCCGCACCATGTTCGTGATCGCCGATGCCGCCTTGTTCATGAACGCGCCCACATCCAGCCCGCCCGGCTGCGAGGGCACAACCTGCAGCGTGATCTCGCGGAACTGCACGTGCATCAGTCGGCCGGGCTTGTACGAGGGTGCGAACCGGCACCACAGCGAGATGTCGAAGCCGAACTCGGGCGGCTTGAGGAACGACTCGGTGCGTGTTAGCGGGCGGAAGCCACGCGGGGGGGCCCCCGCTAGTGCTGGCGGCTGCTGCGGCTGCGCTTTCGTCCGCCGTGGGTTTGTGCTTGTGGGGGCGGGGACGAGCTCGGGGGCGGTGCGGGTGGTCTCGGGGGTGTAGAAGACCTCTGGCGCTGTTGTGCGTGCTGTGTCGGGTGTTGGCGGCATTGGTGCTGCTGGGGGTGCTGGGGGTGGCGGGAGCGGTGGGAGCTTGTGGGCGCGGGCCGGGGAGGCGTCGACGCTGACGCGGGTGGTCTCGGGGGTTGTGGGCGTGGATTTCGGGGTGAGGTATTGCGTCCAGGAGGTTTGTGAGCGCTTCTGCTTTTCTTCTGTGGCTGCTGCGGGGGGTGTGGTGGGGGCGGGGGCGGGGCAGTCGCCGGGGAGGATGAGGAGGCGCTTGCCGCGGAGGTGTGGGATGAGGTCGGGCCAGAGGGTGGGGCGGAGGAGGGACATGGTCATGTAGGGGTCCATGGTGTAGATGAGGGGCTGCACTGCGTCTTTGTCGTCGCCGAGGCCGGGGTGGAGGTCGTTTTTTATGACGGAGAGGAATTCCTAGTGGTGTTGGTTAGCGGGTATGGGTGATTGGGTGTGGGGCTAGTGGCAGATGGGGGTCTGTGAAGATTGGACTACTTACGGCATATGTGCCTATGCGTGATATGGGTAGCAGCACGAGCACGGGATCGGCACTGTGCTTGAGGATGTAGACGTCCAGGACATCAATGTCGCCGATGCCGCGGTTGCTGCGGCTGCTCGTGTAGTCTGAGAATGGGGTTGCAGAGCCCGTGGGCGAGGAGGTCATTGTAGTGTTTTTTTCTTCTTTCTTTCTTGATAGTGGGTGGTGTGAGTTGTGAGTTGTGAGTTGCGAGTTGTGAGTGGTGAGGATCGAGGTCGATGGATGAGTGAGGATGGCTAGCTATGACGCAGTGGTGAGAGGTGGGATGGAGCTCTTATCTAATACTGGAACTGTGCAAGGGTCTGGTGAGGCTTAAAAGCTTGGCGGGGGGTGTTGTTTTTTGGGGGACAGGGATTGGAGGTGGCCTGGGTGGGTAAATTGAGATTGGGATTTGGGATCGGGATGGGATTTGCAGATAGAGGTGAAGTGGTGTTTTGAATAAGTATGTGGATGGGCTTTATTTATAATCATGTCTTGAGTGCCCTTACTTCAATATATACATCCTCTGCACACGAGATTGATATCGAACCACTACATGTATTGTTGTAGGTGCCCAGTACCGTACATACAGTACTGGACGAATTGAAGCTCATGATGGCTAAAATCCGGATTTCAAAACTTAATTGCCAGCACTATAACTGCCTGCCCAAATCTACTGACAATGCTGTCTGTCAAAGTGTTAAACCAGCACTGCTACAGCCCCGCGTCTTCATCGTCGCAGTACGTACCAAGAGTCTCAAACCCGAATGCTAGTCCGCCCCGCACCACGCACGCTAACCCTTCTCGGACGGTTATTAATACCCGGAGTGGAGTGCTTGGCGGTAAGGACCCTTCCTGCTTAACGCAACGCAGACCCTTCTTCTTACAGCTTAAGCCGGCCGGTTATTACAATAGGCTCTACTGCTCTGCTTCAGTGCCACTGCCCTGCTTCAGTGCTACTGCTCTGCTGCCTTGGGACAGCTATCGTATCTGCTATCTATCTGTTATCTGTCCGTTTCCTCTACTCTACCTGAGTTAGAGAAGAGTGGAGCTTGAAGCTTCACAAACAAGAAAAACAAACCATAGCCATCACATCTAGCTCATCTCGCTTACTCCCGTCCGTTCCATTCCATTCCCCACACTCCAATCCCATCTAGCCCTCTAAAGCTCACCAATAGGTAAGCCCAACTACCACCAACCACCACAGCCATGCTCACCACCGCCATCCCCCGCCGCACCCTCACCACCACCACTGCCGCCCGATCACAGACAAGAAGCTTCAACTTTCTCCCCTTCTGCAACCACTACCCGCGGCCACGGCGGCTGAGCGATGCCGAGCGGCTGCTGGTGCTGCTGCAGCGGCAGAGGATGGCGATGAGGTGGAGGTGGGAGTGGGAGTGGGCGGGGGCAGGGGCGGAGAAGGGGAGGAGGTGGGAGTGGGAGGGGGCGGGGAGGGGGTGGGTGTGGGTGCAGGGGGGAGGTAATGGTGGTGAGGAGGTTTGTGGCTCCTGGGTTGTTTTTTTGGTGTTGTTTGAGTTGGAAGGTGTGCTGACCTTGGGGGCGGGGGAGTGTAGTATGATATTGATCTGATTACGTTGAGGAAGGTGCCGAGGCGCGCGGAGGGGGTTGTGGAGGCGCGGGGGGAGACGGGGGAGAAGGTTGAGAAGGGGTCTGGGAAGGAGAAGGAGAAGGAGAAGGAGAAGGAGAAGGAGAGGAGGGAGAAGGAGAAGGCCGAGAAGGAGAAGGCGAAGGCGGAGAAAGAGAGGGCCGAGAAAGAGAAAGCGAAGGCGGAGAAAGAGAGGGCTGAGAAAGAGAAGGAGAAAGCAGAGAAAGAAAGAAAAGAGAAAGAGCGAGAGAAGGCCGAGAAGGAAAGAAAGGAAAAAGAAAAGGCTGAGAAGGAGAGGGCTGAGAAGGAGAAGGCAGAGAAGGAGAGGAAAGGGGAAGAAAAAGCCGAGAAAGAAAAGGCTGAGAAGGAGAAGAAGGAAAAGGAGAAAGAGAAAGAGAGAGAGAAGGAAAAGAAAGAGAAGGAAAAGAAGGAAAAGAAGGGAAAGGAGAAGGAGGAAAAAGAGAAGGCGAAAGAGAAGGAATCGAAGCCGTCGTCTGCAAAGGGTATGTCCCCAACCAGCTCATATACTAGCACTGATACACAGTATCCTGGAGACGACAGAAGATCAATTGGAATCTGATTTGATAACCGCCCGTTTACTTTGTTATCAGATCAGATGGCTATTGATCGTTTTGCCCTCTCGTAATTGAGATTCAGTACTAACTAGGCCGTAACCCCAAACAGACAGCAGCCCTATAGACCTCCCCGTCAAAGGTGCTACCAAAGCCAACACATCCGAGATCCTCGCAAAAATAATCAAAGAGCAGACCGACCAACTGCAAAAGATGACTCCCCCACCGCTGCCCGAGAAGCCGACTGGTCGGAAAGAAGTCACAACTCCAGCACCCGATCAGGCCACCGCCGAAGTGGCCAAACCCAAGTCCCAGGCAAGCTCTGTAGCTCAAGATACCAAGGTTGATGACTTAACAAAAGTAGCAAAGGAGACACCCTCGTCTTCACCAACATCTACAAAAACAGACAACATCACCACGTCGCCAACAACCGGGACCATACCAGCTACAGCAGTCCCTAAGAATGAACAGGCGACAGTGACGCCTCCAATAAGAAAATATCTATTTAGATCCGTTAGTCCCACCCCCGGCAAAGACCCCAAGGAGGCGCAGGAGTCGCCTGATGCAGATATCGACCATCTCCTCCCGTCCGATATACGAGCCGCTGCTGGAATACCGGTGAACGCCGAATCAAAAGCCGAGCCCAAAGACGAGAAGGCCAAACAGCCCACCACTACCACCACACAGGCCGACACCAATATTCCACCGCAAAAGAAGCCCCGCGAGAGCCCCGAGGAGCTCCGGAAACGGATGCGCCGCATCGCAGACAGCCTCGACCTGGGCCCCATTGAGAAATTCATACCCTCGAAAGACCACCAGGACCACCACGACTACGAATGGTCCGGCACCGAGAATGTCTCCACCGAAGACGTCCTCAAACACCCCTCACCGCCAGCCACTGAACCACTCCCAAAACCAACGCCCCCCACCTCAGGCCCAACACCACTGATCGAGCCCGTAGTCCCGATCATGCCGTTCACCGAGCCGCCCACCCTCCCCCCGCAGCCTCCCCCCACTCCAACCCCCACCCCCACCGCTCCTACCCCGCCCCCCACACCCAAAAACTACTACATCCTCGTCCGAAACCCCGACACGGGCGCCATGCACTTCACACCCCTCCCCCACTCCCTCATCAGCGACTTCCCCACTCTCTCGCGCGAGAGCACGGCCTTTGACGCCATGCGGCGCCTCACCAACCCCGAGGCGTTCCTACCGCTGTGGCGCGTGCTGCAGCATGGCGGCTTCAAGGTCGTGGGGGGCGAGAGGGACTGTCTGGTTGTGATGGTGGACCGGGAGGGGAGTAGGATTAAGTATGGGGAGGTTTTGAAGGAGGTGCGGGGGCTGGTGTCGCCGGCGGAGCGGGTGGCGAGGGGGGCGTGGGAGAGGAGAAGGAGGGAGGAGAAGGAGGAGGTGAAGCTTAAGGCGGCGGAGGAGGAGAAGGTGGAGGAGGAGAAGGTGGAGGAGGTGGTGAGGGAGGTGGTGAGGGAGAAGAGGCCGAAGAGGAAGATCTTTTGGTCGGCGGTGTGGGTGGCGGCTTGTACGGGGGCTGTGACGGTGGGGTTGGAGACGTATTTGTGATTGGTGTGTGGTGGGGGGTGGGGGGGGTGTTGGGCGGTTTGGTGGGTTTGTATAGTAGTTGTGTATTTGTGTGGGGTATCTCCGCTTCTTGTTTATTATGCTGCTGTGGTGAGCTTTTGAGCTGGGCTTGGTTGGTTGGTTGCTTTGTTTCATAGGTACACAAATTGCATTCTGATTGAGGCAGAAAAGAAGTGGCTACATGTAGCTACGTAGGGATGTGTCAATATATTTCGTGTGGTCTGTACGTCTGAAATGATTTGGGCATGGGCTGTGGTGGTTTAGGTTTAGTTTTTATGCGCACAGGGTATGGTGCGATGATGTGAAGACGAGTCTCAATATTGCTCATGGGGTTGTAGGGTACTCGCCAGTACTAAGTAAGAAGAGCTATGTAGACGAGGTGACATACCGCCAAAGCTTTAGACACTCGATTCAAAAAGTTTATGTTGCTGATTTTACGTATTCTTAAAAAAGAACGAGTGATTGGCTATGACGCGATCTCAACCACGCACGCCAAATTCTATCTACGAACCATAAAGTATTTACCGCATCAGATCATCTATTGTCCTATGTGGATACCTCCGACTTTTCTCTTTAACTTCATTACCCCCCACGCACCTGTCTTTAATACCCCTTCGATCACAGTCCCCCACTCACGTCGTCCCACATGTGCACCCTCACCGCATGCCCCTAGCTAGCATACACGCCCTCCTAACGTACCTATACACCCTCTCGTCCTGCACGCCCTCATGGGCTTAGATGCATCCACACTAGATATCGGCCAGGACAGGAGCTGGTATGTTGTTGCAGACACAGAAACCCGTACCTGATCTCCTGGCGAGCCGGAAATGATCAATCCGCCGGTTTCGGGGAAGTAAACCTAGCCCTAGCACTCTGATATTCTTGCCTAGTACAGAAGACGGGATGAACTATTCTACTAGTGTGGTTTGAGATGTGTGCCGATGATGTCAGCAGGGAGATAGGATCGAGGAGGCCACGGGGGCGGGCCATGAGGAGCTCTCTTTGAGGTTCGTTATCCTTGGCACTTTAGTGGTGTCTTTTTATCGACTTTGTGTTTCTCATCCCATCCACACCTTGCAATGACTCTTTTACCACCAGCGCCCATCTTATTATCATCTCGCCAAGGCCGGGCGTTTACTGGATCTTTCTCATTCATCTCATGTTCATCTGCTTCTTGATACACTTTGACTACACCGGTTGACGGATTGGTAGACCACCTATCTGGCGGGACGAGGAGAAACGACAATCCGTCAACGGCCTCCAGAGCCGTGATACCTCTACCCGAGGCAAGGGCAAATCTGCTTTTTGCAAACATCAGTTTGTGCATGTGTCTTTCTGGACATTATCTTTCGTCCTGAGCAGGACAGATGGGACGCATATACCGCTTATCCCCTCCGTTCTTGGCTGCTAGCCGTGGGACGAAACATCAGTAACCCGGTGATTACCTTTTAAACGGGAAGGTCGATCTTCTTCGTCCCTTCTGGCTACATAAACTCAATCTTATAGGATGACATAAAAGGCCGGGCCTAAAGAGGCACGCTGCTCATTTGAGGAACCGTAACGGCCGGGGCGGGGTGTTTGCGGCTGGGGAGTGGCAGGCAAGAGATAGTTCATGGCCCATGGTCTCGACCATGAAGAGGTCTCTCAAGTTTGGCAAGGTCTGGGTAGGCGCCAGTTACTATACACCATGCGCCATGCGCTATACGCCACAAACCATACACGCTGGGTGATGATTACCCGCACAGGTGCATGTGGCCCAGGCCCCCGACGTAGTGGGTGCCTAATGGCCTTCAATATCCCTGGAATCATAATCGTAGCTACAGGCATACCATATGACTTTTAGGTTTAACTTTACGGTTCATATTCAGCTTGGTCGCCATATGGGGGATAGGCTTTCTAAGCCGGTGAAAAGAGGACTCATCAATGATGACTGATTAGTATGATCATCCGTGCCTTATGGATTCAGTTCTTACCACCAAGGGATTCTTGCAAATGTCTGTTATCAAGAGAGTCAGCTGGATATGGATTAAAGAGCTCTAAACGACCAGGTTGATGGTGTTGTATATGCTGTGTCTAGCAGCATAGTATGGCTTCCGGATAGCTACTTAGCTGAAATCCGATATATGCTATGGCCCCGCGTCGACGGGACTCTTGGAAACAAATCTTATCGCACAGGCACTAGCGTGGTACGTGCCTCCATTCCCACGTTTGCGCAAGTCTCCCAGATACTAGTGTACCAGGATCGAGGGACTATCGATCGTACCGGATGGATTGCGCCACACCTCGTGGTGCGGTTTGCTCATGGATTCCTGGCCCAAGGCATCGAAGTGACAGAGGAAGTTATATCCCAAAAAGGGAATAACGAATCCGGATAGTTAATCGGCGAACTTCCTGGGTCTAATAGAAGC